AAGAACGAGATTGCGGGTACAAGCTGCTGAGATGGGTTTTCTCCGCAGGGTGGCTGGTGTCTCCCTTAGGGATAAGGTGAGAAGTTCGGTCATCCGGGAGGGACTCGGAGTTGAACCGCTCCTCCTTCGCGTCGAAAGGAGCCAGTTGAGGTGGTTCGGGCACCTAGTTAGGATGCCACCTGGGCGCCTCCCTAGGGAGGTGTTCCAGGCACGTCCAGCTGGGAAGAGACCAAGGGGTAGACCTAGAACCAAGATGGAGGGATTATATCTCTTCGCTGGCCTGGGAGCGCCTTGGGATCCCCCAGTCAGAGCTGGTTGATGTGGCCAGGGAAAAGAAAGTTTGGGGCTCTCTGCTGGAACTGCTACCTCCGCGACCCGACCACGGATAAGCGGGAGAAGATGGATGGATGGATGGAACTCCGTTACTTTTGTAACGCGTTACACCCAACACTGCCGGCTGTGCGCTGTGCAGAGCCTCGACAGATAGGTTTGTGTCAGCTTGTTGCTGGTGATGCCAAGTTGTCCTGATTGCCGTCTTATTTTTTGTTTGGCTTAGACTTTCTGGTGACGACAGTGTTCCTGCTTCCTCTCCCATAAAGTTGCCCTTATGCTCTTTTGAAAGTTCTGCTTGTGGCATTGTGCCCGAGCTATCATTAGCATTTGAGTCCCAGCTTTGGCTGCGTCCCTCATTCAATTTAGTATGGAAAGCCCAGACTGTCATATTTTAAACCCGTTTTTCATTTAGATGCAGCTTGATTGTTAGCAGCAGCCGCTTGGCTAACACCTTGCATGTACTGTTAAGCTTCATTATTTAACTCAGCCGGTGAGGGCAGTGCTCTCGCTCCCGCTCCCGGTAAACGCATGGTATGGTTGCAGTAGGGCTATATCGTTGTATTTACTGCTCCTAGTACTAGACTCCTAGCACTAGGACGATATATGCAGAGAAGAACAATCTTCAACTGTCTGTGCTGTGTGCTCTGCATGTGTGGCCATTAAAGAGGATTTTCATCCGCTCCCAATATTTAATATTATCCTAGTGTGCAGCAGCCGTTTGGCTGACACTTTTAGGCACCGCCACAAGTTACTAACTGTAACTTACGGTTCCAAGCGCGGCGTAGAAAGTACTGGCCCATAGTCCAAATACCGTAACCTAACGGCTCTAGGCGGTGTAAGTACTGCCATAGTTTACTACTGTAAACTAAGGTTCTAAGCCGTAAGTACTGGCCATAGTTACTACTGTAACCTACGGTTCAAGCCGTGGTATGTACCTGGCCAATAGTCAATTCCCGAAACTACGCTCTATGCTGTGGTAAGTACTGCCATAGTTACTACTGTAAAGCTACGGTTCTAAGCGGTGCAGGTACTGGCCATGCAGTCAATAACCGTAAACTATGGCTCTATGCTGTGTAAGTAACTGGCCAATTAGTTAACACTACTGTAACTACGGTTCCAAAGTCGTGCAAGGGTAACTGCCTAATAGTCAATACCGTAACTACAGGCCTTCTATGCTGTGTAAGTACTTGGCCATAGTTACTACTGTACACTGCGGTTCTAAGCCATGTTAAAGTAGTGGCCCATAGGTTACCTACTGTAACTACCGGTTGTCCAAGCGCGTGGCCAAGTACTGGCCAGAGTTACTAACTGAACTACGGCTTCTATGCTGTGTAAATTCTGGCCATAGTGTTACGACTGTTAACTACGGTTCTTAACCGTGTAAGTACTGGCCATAGTTTACTACGGGATAACTACGGCTATATGCCGTGTGAGCAACTGGCCATGGTTACTGCTGTAACTAACGCTCTGTGGCTGTTCCTCCTCTTTTAGAACTAGTTATCTGGCATTACAACATGGTGTGTGTATTTGACTTAATCTCCTTGGATCGTTAGCAGCAGCCGCTCGGCCTAACCTCCTTGCCGTGTACTGTTAGGCTTCGTTTATTTTAACACAAGCTAGGTGAAAGGCAGTGCCTTCGCTCCTCGCTCTCTGCCCGGTAATGCGGAGTAAGCTACATCCCTTTTTCTGTTCGGCGAGGTAGCAGACACCGCTCTACTCTTCTCCGTCAGCAGGAGCTGGTGAGGCTGTGTTCCCCGCACCTGGCTCCCGGTTACGCCTGCATCTGGCATTTCGTCTCTAAATCAACCAGTGGAAGGGCAGTGTTCCTCGACCCCGCGCTCCTGGGAGACCACTGAAACGGCCTCGCTTTTTGCGTTTCCGTTAAGCAGGCGTAGCCGGTTGAAGGTTGTGGTTCCCGCCGCCGCTCCCGGTTACGCGCATCTCGTGCTTCGTCTCAACCAAGCCAGTGAAAGGGCAAGTGGTCTTCGCGCCGCCGTCCTGGTAGACACTGAACTGGCCCTTGTTTTTCCATTAAGCAGGTAGCTGGGTTGAAGGCTTGTGTTCCGCAACCCGCCTCCCCGGTTATGCTTGCATCTGGCAGTTCGTCTCTAAACTAAACAACCGGTGGTTTATTAACTCCAGCCAGGTGAACGGCCAGTGCTCTCTAGCTCCGGCTCCCCTGCTGCCGGTAACGTGGGTTGTAATTAGCATCCCTCCTTTCTGTTCGGCGAGTAGCGAGCCCAACGCCTTCTTAACTACTTTCCATATAAGCAGGTAGCTGGTGGAAGCACTGTGTTCTCCGGCACCCGCTCCGGGCTACGCTGCCATGTTCACATACAGAAATGGCTTTAATTCAATGTAGCGCCTGTAAATGGCTTTCTCTTGAGACCGCAGTAACGGCACCGACGTGCTTGCCCCTCCTGACGTCGGCCTAGCTCTGGCGGTCCAGTTGGGGACAAATTCGGATGCATCTGAGGGAGGGTTCCTCACGTAAACGCCTGCCAAATGAGCCTGTAGCTGCATTGCCTTCGGGCACCTCAGAGTGGGCTAGAACACTGAGGTGGGAAACTTCTTGGCAGCAGCCAACAGACACCATCTCCCCTTGTCACACATCCTCCTTCCAGCTCCAAATTTGGGGACGTTCCCCGCGACTTGAAGGGAGAGATTGGCAAAAATGGTGGACCGTCCCCCAACGCCTCACGCGGGAAACACCACCCCCGGCGGCCGGGCTGTCTTCTAAAGTTGGATCGGCTTAGCTGAGTCGCCCTCTATAGCCCCTTCAGCCTGGGCCCCCGGTGTAGGGGCGCCTGCTAGCGGGGCCCACCTGCCCGCCTTTCTGTTGACGCCCCTCCTTCGATTTGACGCACCCTCCTTCGGTTGGTGCACTCCTTCGCCTGACGCACCCTCCTTCGGTTGAAACGCACCTCATGTTATGAGGACCCTTGTCCCCCCGCGTGGCACAGACCGTCGCAAGGTTTTGGGCTGGCCCCAGTCACCACTAACGAGGCAATGTAGGGAGAGCCCTCCGTAGCGTACCAGTCAAGCCAGGGGACTTTTATGGGGGGTCAGCTGCCCTGGAGCGACTGAGCCGTGCCTGCCAAGCTAGGCAGACCAGGCCCAGCAGCTCTCGGGTCCTTGCAGACTGTGCCCAATTCCCAGCAGGCCCAGGGGCCCGCTCTTAAGCAGCTGCACTCAGCCACCGGATCCTGGTAATCCGGTGGGGGTCTGCAGAGGTCGTAGCGGACCCACTCAACCGCTCCCCAATGACCTTTCGTGCCCCATGTCGCCCGCCTTTCCAGGCGCCCTTGTGGCCCCAGAGCCCTTACGGCGCACCCCAAGGGGGCTTCCCCAGGGGGGGGCTGGCCCCCTGAAATCAAGGGCGGTCGCTCGGCTGCTTCCCCTAAGCAGCAGCCTCAGCTTACTGGGCGGTCTGTATTCCGGGCCCTTGGGTGGGTTTACCTTAACTCAGGGGTAAGGACCAGCAGCTTCCCGGCCCCCTACCCTTTGTTGCTGGGATCCTAATTGACAGTCGGTCGGCATCGGCAACGGGGGCCTTAGCTCTGGGCCCCAGAAGACGTTGTCCCGTCCTTCTGCCAAAGACCGCAGATCGAGCCAGGTAAGGGACCCCTCCCCGTGCCTTAGCCAGGGGGTTATAGTACGGCGTTACTTTTCCTCGTGAGCGCAAGAAGTCGGCGGATTTCCGCCCGATCGAATTGGACCGCAGAGGAATCTAAGCAGATTCCTGAAGGGTGCTGCCATTCTAAGTATGCTGACCCACTCACATGCACAGGTGGAGTGTTCCAACCGTGTGAGGGATGCCTACTTCACTGGGCCGGGCAAGATGGTGCTTATATTCCAGTTTCCTTCGCCCTTGGGCAGAACTGGCCCCGGCATGACTCGGAACGCTGGGGCCCTTAGGCCCGCTGTCCGTTGCGCCCCATGCAGATGTGGGCTGAACAGCCTTCATGGGACGGCCCAAAGTGGCACCAGGCACAGGGAAGTCAGAGGGTGGTCGCAGCATTGTCCACCTCTCTGGTCACGCTGGAGGGGGCAGGGTCCTATCTTCCTGATGGGCGTGCCCATGAGGCCATCCCCATGCCCGCCAGGAGACCATCAAACATAGGTGCATGTCCCTTCAGGTTGGGGTGCAAAGTGCGGCAGGGCAGGACCGTTCAGGTCAGCGGTCTGCCCAGGAGGTGCCGCACTCAGGCCAACGTGCCTAGAGCTTCGGGCTGTGCAGCTTGGCACTCCACGCACCTTCTACCCCCAACTGGGGGGCAAGAATGGCGTGTTTCCTTGGGGACAGCATGTACCATTGATTGCTTAGACCAACAGTCCTTCCTAAGATAGTGGAACGTCTCACTACCACTCTGAATTTATGTGGCTGGTATTTCTGCCAAAGAATGTTTCGGGTCGACGCGCGGCCACGACGGGTGGTGACACAGGTCGGTGTCTCTTTATGAGAGGGCTTTACGGCAGACGTCCCCTAGCACACGAGGGGCTCCGGCTGGGATCCCCTGCTGCGGATGCCTATTCATCTCCTCCGCCTTCGAGCCCTGGCCCCCGGTGGGGGCCTTATGGTTGGCTGGGCCCACGAAGGGCAGCATTTCCTGCCTTGCCATAGCCTCAGGAAGCGATTCGGGGAGTTACATTTCTCCATAACGATCATGCCCGAGGTGGGACCTCCTCAGGCGTGTGCCCCTTTGGGGCAAATGTGGCAGTTCCTGCCGGGGTCCTTCCACAAACCACTTCCAANGTAAGATCCTTCTGGTATTACCAGGGTATATGCAGGAATCCTGAAGTCAAATTGAATACCTTTTAAGACCTTTCTTAAAATGTATGGAAAGGGTCTTAAAAAAGGTCTTAAAAGGTATTCAATTTGACTTCAGGATTCCTGCATATACCCTGGTAATACCAGAAGGATCTTACAATGATCTGATGATATTTACAATATGAGCAACACAGTAAACCATTAGTGGTTGGGGTGATGGACAACGGATGTATTGCTCCACTGTGTTCTACACAGTTTCATTTCATTTAATTTCAAAACTTTATTTATGCAGGTGAATCCCATTGATTGATCTTACATATAAACATAACAGAAAAACAAAAAGGACATCATACAGCATATTTACAGCGACTACAGTTTACATAGCTAGTAACATTTACAGGCTCCAACAGTTTCCGATTGGATAGCATCTATCCTTGCTTTAAAAACATTTAGTGGAACCAAATTGCTCAGCTTCCATTCCTTTAATTCCATGAATGTCCCCTTGCTATTCAACTGCTGTTTAGTCAATCCTATTTTTTCTACCCTGCTCTCATTCTACTGCAGGTTACTTTCTTAGCTGATATATGTATTTAAGATGTGCACTGTTATATAACACCTCAAGGGAACATCTGCCAGATCATGAAGTCACAGATTATTGTGATTCAGTTCACATGTTTACTCTTCATATTCTTTATCATCTTGCTACCTGAAGACAACAACATTTGGGAGAGACTTGTTTTTTTGTTTTTCCTATAAAATTATTCAAATATAAGCAGTGTTGAATGCACCCACCAAGGCTCTGAGAAGCTTTACAATAAATCCATGATCTGATGGTGGTTATTACACAGCAGGCTAGTCTGGGCTGGAGAAACTGTTGGACTGCAGTAACAACGCAAATGTCCTTTTAAGAGGGAAGCAGGAGGCAATGCTTCGTGTTGAAACCACAGATGGTCTGTTGTTATTCACAGTGTGAACCACTTGTTTTGATGGTTGACTTTTCAATTGTTCTACGAAACTCTTAGCGAGGTCAATATTCCCTCTTTAGGATTCTCCACCTCCACAGTAGATTATGGTCCCCCTTTAGCTTTTCCATTATAGGCGAAGTTGCTATGACTTCAGTATCTTCCATGTATCCTACATTTCATTTGCACTGCTTCCCTGCTGGACTAAGAACAATTAATGGTTTGTTAAAGCTCCCCTAACCCATGGTTTGTTTATGGTTTGTAAGCTAAATCATAGGGGGAGGTCAATAAAATAGAAAGAATAAAGGAAGTTATGAAATGAATTACAGCGAATATTGGGTGAATATTGATATTATGTTGTTTAACTATTGGAGTGGATTTAATAAATATAAATTTTCATGTATTTTGAGTTATTTATTATTATTTAAGAACCAATAACAGGCAAAAACATGATGAATGATAGTTGAAAAAAGAAGTATGACTCAGCGTTGTTTATTATTTTGTTGGTGTCTGAATAGCTTCGTTCAGGATGTTTGTTACTGATAGTTGTCCAGCAGGAAATTAAATCCTGGAGAGACTGAGTTCCTCTCTGTCACATGACGGAGCAGCTCCATCAGCCAGTATCGACGGTCTCTCTTCAAACATCATTAATGTGATACAGTCTGCAGCGTCAGCAAGTTTATTTAAAGACGTTTCTCCAACCTCTGAATGCAGACCTGGAGGATTCTGCAGTTCATTTCAGTACAGTGCACAAAATCATGATTATTATTGAATAATATTCCTCAACGCTGTTCAGTTTTGATTTAAAAAATCTGCTTTCACATGTGTCTCAGTGCTCATATTCATACATCCTGTCATTGAGTCCTTTTATCCTGCTTTGTGTCAAAGTGAATGTCTTAAATCATACCTGTTTACTGTTACCTGCCAATAGGTGTGGAGAAGAAAAGGGAGAAGAAAGATGCTAACCAAAAGAAAGCAAATGGAAATCACTCTCTCTTAATAAAGAAGAACATTCTCAGCCTATTCATTAGGCGTTTTTAAATGGTTTGAATATAAGTTGTTCGTACAATATTTACAATACTGAGAAGCCTTAATTAAAAAAAAGGCAAGACCAACTTAAAGAAGATTAGCTCACTAAAAGACACATTTCTGATGTAAAGGACGCAGGTCTTTGGAAGGAAGTGATGTTCTGCTCTGCAGAATACACAATGCCATTTATCTCTCAGACTAATCACATTTCAAACTAAAAGCAATAAGAGATCAAGCTTCATCTACTATACATTAGAACACACACCAATCAGCAAGAGGAGTGAGATACAGTCACAACTGACCCTTTTCTTTCTACATAAGGAAGGAGAAGAAGGGGCAAATGGCAAGTTTATTTTCGTCTGCTCGAACTGAAAAGATATTTGGGGCTCGTAGACATAAATAAATGTATAAGACACACACTCACACACAAACACACATTAATGTGCCCAGTGATAAATCTTGCAATTGCAGCTTGTCCCATCATAATTATTAGATATGGTCGTAGCCAGCTGGTTGGATTCAGTCAGTTTTCACGTCAAGCTGAGAAGGGTGCAAAAAAAGTACAATTCAGAAACATGTTATCATACCAGCACACTATTACAGTAATGTGTTTGTGTAGTCATGTCCGTCAGTACACGTTCTACAAACAAATCCATATCAAGGGCACTGCACATATACTGCCAGCTTGTGTGTGTTGAATAAGTGACAACACATCCTTGGTCTCTTGATATATGTGGTCCTTCTACTGTCTTTGTCATTTCTGTCATAACATCGGCAAACAGCCTCTTGCATCCCAGCTCCATCAGAAAATTAAATTAAATTCAAGGCTTGAGTATTGGTCTCTTCAGTGGACCACTAGTTCCATCAAAAACCTATTTGAGTGTTGTCATACCTGCCAACCCTACCGATTTGGGCGGTAGTCTACTGCTTTTGACCTGTTTCTACCGCCTACCGACTTAACTGGCTTTCCCTACCGATTTTCAATCTTCCCAAACTATAACAAATAAAAAAGACACTCCATAGACACTGGACTCGACTTTTGGCGGACACCGTTTGCAGCGTGTCTGTGATCGCATCATACAAACAGTCCTCTGTCCGGGGCTGATGGGTAATCACTCCCAAATGAGTTTAAGGCAGGGGTGGGGAACCTCGGGTCCCCGGGCCGTATACGGCCCGCGAGACCAATTGGTACGGCCCTCGAGGTAATTTATAAACACATGCAAAAAAGAAAAAAAATTAAAGAAATCTAGACCGCAACAACGCCCGCGTGCTTTGACACAGAGTCCCGAAATTGTAAATTGTTGATAATTACACAGTATGGGTGAAATTGCCCCGCTTTGAGCGGATAGTCTGTTATAATTGGAAAAATCGATTTTACTTTGTGTTCCCATTATGTTAGGAGACTTAATCGTGATTCGCTTTTTTAACGAGTACGAAGTATATCCACATTATTTGAAACAAAACCCGTTTGACACACCGCGCAGGGAAAGTGAGGAGGGACCATTACAAATCCACCTAAATCCTTTGGGGGGGGGGGAGTTAAGATAACCGACGACTGCTCAAATTTTCACCACAGTAGTAGTTTCAGCTGTACCCAAGGTCTCTTATACCGTTTTTTTTTTTAATGTGGGTTTACTGGGGTCTCCACAAAAAGAAAAACGATTTGGAGAGAATTTTTCCAGTTTACTAGTGAACAAAACACTAGTTAGAACTATGTCCATGAATAATACTACAATACAAACCTAAGTATTTCGAAAATCAGAATGATCAGGGTAGTAAGTTCCCACACAAAAGTGATTATTCATTACCCAAAAGAAACCTGCCCTTTGATTTTAAATGTAAAAAAATTATACAAGTTGACTAAATGAAATTTATTTTTGTGATATAAATAAGACTGATCAAGATGTAGGGTTAGTTCCCAAAAGTAACGAAACTCTTTGTTTACTAATTAAATGGGGAAAATCTTCACACTATCAATATCAGTAACAAGACCCTTACGGTAAAAGCTCGGACTCTGACTTTATTGTCCGAGTCCGAATGTCCGAATTTACTTCAACGCAATAACTTTTTATTGTCAAACTGTCCAGATAGTGGAGTTCAAGCTTCAATAACCGTAAGTACTAATTCCATACAAAGTCGATACTTACCAACGAAGTAATGACCACACATAACTTAGATATACGCACCGTAAATTTATGATCGCAAACGTCTTGTTCATCGATTTATTAACGATATTAATGGATCTACTCATCCAGTATTCCATGGAAAACGATTGCAATCGGTATCCTCATAAGCGCCACAACCATTTTGTTCACAAGCGGGCGTCCTGTTGAATCATCCGTTTTAGTTGCAAGAATTAGTGTCATTTATGGTCACCTCATCGTTTTATCGCCCACCCGTTTTATAGGAGTTGTTGACTCGATGGTAAGTATTAATTCGTTTTCCTTATTAAATACTAAGCTCTTAATAACGTACTGGTTGCGTCTACGTGTCACACAAACTTCTACTTGAGACTTGAAACAGTTGGGGGGGGGGGCCTGAGACATGTGAGGTCCTGAGGCGTTTTGGCGTATTACAAATGCGATGCAACGTTACGTAATCCGTTCTGGGAGCACCCCTGTTGTGCCGTACACTAACCCCAATTTTAATTCCTCTTGACATACACCACTAGATCGCCGCAGTCCCCTCAGAGTCTTAGGTGTGAGTTTGACGTCTCTCTAAGTGTGTGTCTTCCAAAAAATATATTTACATTGTGTGGTATGTACGTCGGAAGGTTTAGGTGTTCTCCATCAAACCGCGCCCGTTTACACGTGCGGGGTTTAATTCGTTAGTCTTTTTACCTGGGCTCATTAATGTAATATATTGGTACATAAATTGTATATAACGTAGTAAAATACGTAAAAAAGTCTTTTTCCACCATCAAACATTTGTCACTGTAGTTGCTGTACAGCCAGACATTTACGGGCTTTTCATTTTCTTACCCTCTAACTTATAGGGTTTCAGGGTGTAAAATAAATAAAACACACAAAGACCAGGAGAAAGTCAACTCTGTCACATCTACTTCCTACACAGTCCTACATCTGAGAACACACTTGTAACCTATTTCGGGTCAAGTATAAGAACAAAGTACAACAACTGTATAATCTCAGTTTCCCAAACGTGTCTCGCTTTAAACGCTAATTTTTTCATTAAAGGACGTAACATAGATGACTATTTCACACTATTCTATTTACATGTCGAAAGTCTACGACCATAAAGTGATTGTTCTGTAATTGCTGTATAAACCCACAAACTTTACAGACTTTTTCAATTTCTGGACCCTCTAATTTATAGAGTTTGACAGTAAATAAAAGCACACACAAACAGCCAGGAGAAGTCAACTCGTGTGACATCCCTCCTACCGAAGTCCTTTCCTGGTTTTTTGACCTACCTAGAAAGGTCGCGGTTGTACACAAAAGCTCTGTGACTATGAATTGCCCTTTAGGCGTCCTGAGTTTACGGAGCAGGGGACAAGGAATTTGGTCCTCCACCCTTGGAAAAAGGAGAGTTCTCGGTGAAAAGTTAAAAATGTTGTAGGAGGCTCCCGGCATGTTTAATAACCGGAGACGAATTTTATGAATTTTAGTGTCCGGTAAGTAAACCGGAAAGAAAGTACTGGACACGTTTCTTTTTCGTTGGAGACTTAGGGTCTAATAGAAGGTACTGAGTGCGGTAAACCCCCCACATCGTGGCACGTGCCAATACCGATACTGGTAGAGGATTGATATATCTATACTATGTGTTAAATACTAACACACGTATCAAGAACCCCCCCCATACGGTAACTTGTACCTAAACATTCACACCCCACACAACCCTGGATGGAGGATATCCCCAATTTTTTTTTAGAAGGGACCCTCGTACGGGAGTAAAAAAATTACAACTTCAGTTTCGTAGTTAGACCAGACCTCTCGTTGTACTTTCTAGATACCTATGGAGAGAGTGGTGTGGGATACTTTTGTTGCATTCGTCTAAATAAAAAGAAATACCTATAAATGGTTTAGTGAGGGGAAAGCTTGATAAGACAAAATTATTGTTGAAAAAAAATGAAGTATATCATAAAATAGGACAATAAATAAAAATAAAAAAAATTGATAATTACTAATATATTCTAACACGGAACAATGGAGTGACCAACATTTTTTCGAAATTAAGCAACATCGTATGATCGATTGTCTAGATTATTGTTGTTTCAATAACTGACATACTAGTATACTGTCTACTTGTCTACGGTGACCCGAAGTTGCTTCTGTGTCGGTGGTTTTTGACGCGTAATGGAGGAATACCATGACGCTTAAACTTTCACGGCCTCGCTGCAAGACCACGAGAGGTCGTCTTGACGGTGGGGAAAGTCCTGCTCTGTATATGGTGCAACCGAGCACAAACACAAGTTCCTAGGGACTGGAACCGGTCCTTTTTGTCCCTGAGCGACAAAGG